ATAGATAAAGGCTACATAATATAGAGTGAACTTCCAGAAGAACAAACCAATCTGTTGGAAGAAGTGCATCCAGACACTCCTTAGAAGGGAAGTTGGGAGATTTCGTCTCATACTTTTGGACATGGCATCTGGAGGGTCCAGTCCTTGGAGAAGGACATCGCGTTTCACAGAGTGGTGGTTGTGTACCCTTGAGGTGGAACCAATTCGTTCATAGCTGACCCTCCACTAAGTTTTCAGAGGCAGTTAATTGCAGGGAAGATTGTCCATCTTTCTTTTACAGAGCAACGAGCAGATTCAAACTGTGTGTCTTTGGGTTGGCACCTCACCCCCTTACCATTAACCTACCAGGAGCTCCTTTGGTAAAGGGGAGGGTAAGTGGAAAAGAAGACCCTCAGTGAGATGGATCGTCTCAGTGGCCGACACTGCAGCAGCTGTGAGGTTGTAGGAGCAGGCAGAATTGACTTCTGCTGTACAAAGCGTTGCTAGCCCACTCAGGCACATGATAACAACAAAGGCTAGTATTTCAGAATTCAGATAACCATTTATTTTGATGTAGAGGGTCTGATGTTAAAAATATTTTCCACACATTAAAAGCAATTTTGTTTTCATGCTGTGTTCAAAAGAGCAGAATGCTTATTCTCTATGTTTTCACAAAAACTATTTTTAACACAAATGTTACAGTATTAAACAGACTCTGGGCCTCATGTTGACATTTTAAGAGGACAACATTCAAACCTGCTGGCTGAAAAATATCCATTCTGATTGGTAACCTCATGTTTATTTGTTGCAATTCTTTTCCTTGATCACAGCTTCCAGCTCCCTCTGTGAGGAATGAGGTCTCTTCATAAAGCTATTGTTACTGTCAGTTGCTGTAGATTCCACCCCTGGTGAGCTGAGTGTACAGGGTGGGAGAATGCCTCAATAGGTTTCCAAGGCTGTGGCCTTTTTGGAAGTAGATTGCCAGGGCTGTTGACTGAGGTGCTTCTGGGTGGGTATGCATTGCCAGACTTTGGGCCAGCACAGAACTCTTTACACCGCTCAGGGCTCCTTAGAAAAATACTGAGAGACAGAACAATACTGCTGCACTCCCCTGTAACCTGTACTGGTCTCCCCCCCGCCTTGTTGTGTACCATCAAATCAGATTGGACTGACACAGGGGGAGCTTGTCCCTCCTTCTCCAGTAGAATATCTGGTGGATTTGAACTGCTTCTTGCCACGAGGCCACCAGGGCTCCCTTCCTGTAGCCTGTTTTGCCTCAACTTCCAGTAAACGTTTCATACAAACATGAAACTAAAATTCATACTCCGAGTTACAGGAGGTTTCTGAAGATTGAGGCTGAACATCGGCCAAATGAGCAGAAGCTGGCAGAACACACTGTCATGGTCCCCACTCCCGGACACTGGGGAGCAGACTTAGAGCAGGACTGCTGACCATTCGATTCAGCTTCCACAAGCTGAGCTCATGTTCATAATCACTAGCTCAACAAAGTATAATGTGAGGGAAGCGCCTTAATAGCATCCACATTTCCAAACATAGCAACTTTAAGAGACCAGTAACTAGGTCAGCATGCTGATGGAAGGCGCCTGCTTGAAAGCCCAGCTTACCTTCAGAACTTTGCCTTCTAAGATTTTTCCACATGAAAAACTGCACATGTTTTCAGCCTAAATGGAGGCTGTGCATCTTAAGTCCTTAAGATTGGGAATTTTAACTTTTAACTAACAGCTAATGGGTAATGAATGAAACTAGCAATACAGTAATGATGGCCAGTTGCCCTCAAGTCCATGTGTGTTAGAATGCTAACTGTGCTCCGAGGGTTCTCAAGGGCTGACCTTTCAGAAGCAGATTGTCAGACTTTTCTTTTTCTTTTTTCCCCCAATGTTCACTTTCCTTTAATGACCCCCTATTCTCCCCAAGGGGTGGTGCAGGCAGCGAGGTGACAAGCCGTTGGCTCACTTGAAGATCTTGCCCAAGTGCCGGAAGGCCCCCTCCCAGCAGTACTCTCGATCCAGGGTCTGGGTCTCCTCACTGCCAGGATCTAGTTTCTGTCACGTGTAGGACTCCTAGTCCATCTGACAATCTGGACCCAAGGGGAAGGCAAGCTCTTGATCTCTGAAGACCCACACTCCAGAAATGGAGCTGCTATTGTGGGTTCCAAAGAGGATGACACTGGCAAAGGCGTTCTTCCGCAGCTTATCCAGTCGCTGGAACATTCCAGTGAGGAGGCTGCAGCTCGTGAAGGTCTGGCGGAGCTCCCCAGGGAAGTGGCACTCGGCATGCCATAAAGACCAGCAGCTGTCCTTATCAAAATGCTCCCAAAAGTGGGGCGGGGCCACAGACAGAGTGTCCTCAAAGGAGTATTTACGCTTAAACCCATCCAACACGAAGGTAAGTTTTGGGCAGGTGAGCAAAGGGGTCCTGGCCTTTGGCTGAGCAGCGAGAGGCTGCTCACATTCGT